ATAAAAGAAAGAGAGAGGCGGGGGGGGGGGACATTGACGAGTTTGTAAAAACGAAAGCCCCGGGCGGGCGGGCGTGCGCGATCGAGGACCGCAACTCGATCCGCGCGGCGTTTAAACCGGAGGCGGAGTGGCGACGCACGATTGATCCCCACCGAGTGATCGTGGAATGGAGAACCGCCCTCGAGGGTTTTTTGGTTTTGTTTTTGCCGAAGCTTCTCGTTGCCTTTTTTGTTATTTGAGGAGGAGGAGGAGGGGGAGGGCTCTCTTGCTACGTTGGGGAGAGGGGAGGTGCGGGCGGGCGTGGACGTATTCGGACGACGTCGTTCATGAAATAAAAATAAACCCACAGAGGAGGGGGTGGACGTGGTGGCGAGAGAGAGAGAGGGGTGTGGTGGGGTGATATTCTGCACCGCCGTCTCTCAGCCACGTTGCAGCACCCAGGCTAAACGATCTGGTCGCCACCCATCCGAGTCCAGCACTGTAGTACTAACCGGACTTAACCGTGCTTTGCTTGTGAGATCCGAAGAGGTGGGAGGCACGCAATGTGATACGTCATAGGCGTAGTGTGAACGCTCAACAATTGCCTGGACACATTGATAGAGAGGACTGCAGAGCGTGGGCAATTTGTTGGTGCCTGTTCACTGTCTGGCTCCCTTCCAGTTTGTCTGTGATCTGTGGGTCCACAGTGATTGCGAGATGCAATTTTCATGAAAGACGCTGTATTCATATATAAAACGAAACATCACAGGCAGCAAACCTGAGTGGAGCTTGTTAATTCTCTCATACACTCGAACATTCTCTCTTTGGTTCTTTCGGTGAAGTCGAAAGGAATTAAATAAAATAATAATAAAATACGACGTCTCGATTGCAACACAATCAACCGTCATCAGGTACAAACGAATGAGAACACAAACATAGTAAACTTGAAAGTATCATGCAATACAACACAGAGAGTCTGTAGCAACGGATCGACCGTGAGACCGGTTGGCTCTATCCACCAGCGTGTGTCCTTCTTGACTTGGAGGCAGGGAGCGAGGACCCTGTGGTTGTACAAATCATGACGGCACAAGAAGTCTGCTGCTTCAGGGCTTACAATCTCATTTCATATTTTACGAGTCCCTCGTAGGCCATTATCCAGCAGTGAGTTGACCACGGCTTATGATGACGACGACGACGATGATCACCGTGGTATACTGGAGCAGGTGGCACGTGAGTAGTGGCCACGGTCGTAGCGGGAGAGGTATACTGGACGTGGTGTTTCGGGCGAGGAAATATTATCTGAATTGCCGACGCATGCGGGCCCCGCTGAAGCCGGCCGTGGGGGACTCTTCACCATACTTCACCACGCCGCTCGGTGTTCATCATCGTCATCATCATCAGCATTCCGTGTCAACAACAAAACAACTTAGAGAAATGCCGAGCATTTGTGGGGGGCGCAGGCCCGCGCAAGGGCAGTAAGGGTGCTCGTACATGGTGAGCCCTGCACGGCTCCCCCAACAAACGACGCTGGAGCGGACGACCGAGGAGTCGACCGAGGAGTCGTCGACCGCTCTCCACCGCAGACCCAGCTCGTGTTCCGGGCCTGCTCCGAGAAGGCCCCCACTTCCTTAGCGAGGTTTTACTTTTTGTTTTTGCTCCGCAGTGGCCGACAACATCGATGGCGGAGGCCGTTCAGGCATTCTGCTGAGCCCCCCGATGGAAGAGTCTCCGCTACTCGCAGTCTCATCACCTTAGCAGCTGTCGATGTCGCTCGCTGCGGTGCGTTCCGCAGTTGTAAGCCGCGTGCTCTCCCGCGATGAAACTTTAAAACGATTTATTTTTTTATTTTACCAGGCAAGGCCCACAACTGAGATGCTATACGGCTCTTTTTGAGGAGCGACCTGGCGATCGCAAGTGACAGCTCAACGAAGTGGCTTGTCACGTGGAAAATTATAGAAGCCAAATTCTCTGAAATACATGTTTCTAAGGGTGGAGGGACAAACGGGGAGAACACGCAAACTCCAAATATACAGGCGTCAGGGTCGGTATCGCACCCACGACCTCCTGCATACCAATCAAGGTAGTTAATATCTCGCTATCGATGAGCTGAGACGTCCTGTGATGGTGGTAAAACTTTTCCGCCACTTGAGTCTACGACTGCTCAGTTTTGATTGGTGGCAGAGGTTTGAGGGCACCAAGACCACTGATGGTAGCTATGGCCCGGACTGAATTTCAGGTCACCGGGTTCATAGCGCAGTGCGCTAACCGTTGCTCCACCGCTCCACCCATTTATGTCGGAACCTCTTGTTGTTGCTGTAATTGCCAATTTCAGAATTTCATGACACTGAGTGGGACTGACCGCGAAGCCGGGGTTTAACCAACATGATTAAATCGAAAGATGCCACATTACCGCGTCGCTTAATATCAGCACGCTGACATTGCGCCCAATTGATCTGTGGGCTCCATTTAAAATGAAACTCTTCATTGACCGATCGATTTAATTCATTTTGCTCCTGATGTCCAGGAAATAGGTAACTAACTAGACAGGCAGCATTGACACGAAATAATTAATGGCCTTTATCTTATCATCATCATCATCATCCATAATGTATCCACTGCTGGATGAAGGCATATCCATACGACCGCCATCGTTAGCAGTCGTGCGATGCCACAATCCACCTTGCCTCCTGCACTTATCACCGCGTTCTTGTTCCATGGCTGTCATTCCCTTGGGCGTGTGTTTTTTCTCCGTTGGCTGAGGTTCATTCACGGGCCTCGTCCACTGCTGTAGGAACGGCTGCCACCGTTTAAAACCGATGTCGTTGTCTCCTCTTGCAAGGCGTTTGCGACCGGGTGCGTCCTGCAGTGTGTGGACCATTGCGCCACAACGTTTACATTCATGCGAACGATCGCACGTCAATAAACGTAACGATTTGCACGAAACGATTTTTTAAAATATTTATTGTACCAGGTAAGTCCCACCGAGCTAATTAGCTCTTTTTTTGTCAGGAGCGACACGGCTATCACAGACGAGAGCTCGACCAAGTGGCTTGTCACGCGAAAAATGCACAGCAGCCAAATATTCCTAACGCGTGAGGTTCGTTCTAAATGTGGGGGGGGGGGGGGGGGGAATTGGAGGACCCGGAGAAAATATCACGTGACCACGGGGAGAGAGAGAGAACATGCAGACTTCAAATATACGGCGTGTTTCAAAAACATGTTAACACTTATATGGGACTCTCGTTTTTAATGGAAAAAACGGATAATACTACACTGTGACATGATAACAAATCTAGATTTGAACCTTTCGTGACTGCAAGGATCCATACTCTTTGGTTGTATTCGGTAAAGTCAAGCTGTTTCTCCCTCCATACAAAAACAACCACTTGATACTCCGATCAAAACCATCAAACACAAGATCCTGGTCTGGTTAAATACAGTACACAAAATCCGTGACCTGATCCCTTCCGTGAAGGATGTCATTCCTGACTTACAGTACCCCGGAGTTTACAGATTGATCTGCACCTGTGGTGACTGCTATATCGGGGAGACGAAACGACATGTCTCTGACCGAATGCGCGAGCACAAATCAGATTTGAAACACGGCAGAACGAATTCTTCTGCCGTAGCCGATCACTGTTACAACGCTGTGGGTGATCACGATATAATTTTCTCCGATACCAAGGTTCTTTGCAAACCCACGGGTTTTTATGAGAGATTTATTCACGAGGCAATTCAGATTTACAAACACAGACACAATTTCAACCGAGAGGATGGTTTCAAATTAAGCAACCATTGGAAAGATGTTCTAAGTCGAACCAAACATTACACTAATTTTCAATGGTACAGTATATTTTTTCAAGTAGTGGTATCCCAAACTTTCGCAGCTGCTTAAATTCCCTTTTCACACCATCAATATGTAAACTCCCCCCTCCCCCCCTCGCCGGTCTGCACATGCTCCCCCCCTCTACACCGTTCATCATGCTAAGTCCACCAATTAAATGGTAATTTTTATGCTAATTCATTTGTCAAGGCACCTTAATTCCTCTCACACAGCTTAAAGGTCGCGGTCTGAGCTTGGCTGTGTTCACTCCAGCGCTGTCCTCGAGACAGTCTGGTCCCTTCACCTGATGAAGGCCACTTGTGTTGTGGCCGAAACGTCGTGAATTTTGTTTTTTGTTTTATACTTTTACGTGACTTTACCGAATAGAACCAAAGAATATGATAACAAATGTAATGTTAATAGCTTCAAAAAGTCAAAGAGTCTCCCACTTGTTCGCCATCGTTGTCAACACGTGCCCTGGAATCTTCTCCAGGTGGTCTACAGAGCCCAGAGGCACATTCCTTCCTCGTGGCATTGTTGCAAATTGTCATTTGTATTGTTGCAAATTCTATATTGCAACAACACAGGCGTCATCCGGGTCGCGATCAAACCCACGACCTCCTGTACACCGGGCGAGGTCATTAACATCTCCGAGCCACCGTAGGCACCCCAAACTGCCACGACCGACCCAAGCGGAGAAAGTTTCACGCAGCCAGCTATGGCTCTAGGATTTGGTGGTACATGTTATTCACGTAGCTTATTGTAAAAATTCGGCCACAGTCCCTATGATCACTGTTACTCTGCAATTATGGCTTTATTTTTTGGTGATTTCGAAAAAAAATTTGGTTTGGACATGTTTGTTTTGTTGTAGTACAGAGTTAGACTGACGACCTTAATCTAAGTTTTCTCGTGGTTGTTGTTGTTTGACTTGCATCCCACTGGGATTTTTTTTGCACACAGCGTTGGTGTACGGTGCTTTTTTTTTCAGGAATATTTTGCTGTTTTTTTTTCTTCATGGATTTTCTGTTTGCACAGTCACACAGAGTCACTTTAAGATGCTTTTATTGTTCGTGTTTTTTTGTTTGTTTGTTGTGGTTGCACCCGATTCAAGAGCCCGAATGGCTCACAGGGCTATACCAAAATAAATGAAACTGAAAACTGAAGCGCTCCGCCGTTCCTTGCCCTGCGTTGCGTGCAGACGGAGCGCCGGATGTGAGCGGCACGCCGGGCGCGAGGCCTCGCGGCGTCGCTCCGATGCCACCACCGCCGCCGCCGCCGACGCGACAGAGAGGAGGCGTCGACGCGACGGAGGTGGCTGCTCACGGTGAGACGCTCGCTTACCCCCCTTGTTACTTTTAGTTTTTTGATCATCTCGATTCGCGCCGTCGGCGTCGCGCATTCGGCACGCGGGAAAAGGCCCGCGGGGTGCTGCAGAGCTGCAGCCGAGATGACTCCAGGTGACAGGCCTCGTTGCATGCGAGCAGGGGGAGCAGCAACTTTCTTTAGGGGCCGCGCTGCCACCGTGGGCAATTTTACCTCTCACGAGCTGGAATTTATCCATGCTGAGCACGTGACCAAATTCAATGGGATTTATTTATTGTTTCGTTGCGTGCGGTCATTCGAAACTCTTTGTCGTCAAGAACACTGTGGCCCAGAAATGAGAATCAAATATGTAAGATAAAGTGCGACATTCCGGGTGCCAGGGTGGTGAGATGTCATCTTACACGCCTGGTATGCGGGAAGCCGGGGAGTTCGATCCCAACCTTGATTCGTGTATATTTGGAGTCTGCATATTCACTCTCCCCGTGGTTGCGTGGGTTGTTCTCCGGGTCCTCCGGTTTTTCCCTCCACGTTTAGAATGATCATCAGGTGGTTTTAAAGTATTTGGCTGCTCCACATTTCCACGTGATGAGCCACTTTCGTCGAGCTCTCGTTTTTTGATAGCCAGGTTGCTTCTTAAACAGAGCTATACAGCTTAGTGGGCCTTACCTATGGGCCTTACCTATGAAGAACCATTGCCTGAAACGTCACCTACTATTTTTTTTTCCTGTTGCGGCCGCAGTGTTATTGACGAACGTGATGTGTTTTTTTATATATTCTTTGGTTCAAAGAAAATAACAAAAAAGTACGACGTTTCGATCGCAACACAAGCATTCCTGATGACGAACCTATCGACGTGACTTTACCGAAAGACCCAAAAGAATGTGAATTGCTGCAGTTACGAAAGCTTTAAACCGTGATGTGTTTTGTTGTTGCTGTGTTTGCTTGTGCACCACACTGCCAATGCTGCAGCAGCAGCAGCAGTGGAATCACGAAATTATTTGTAGAGCTACAGCGGCAGGACACGTGAATAGGGATGTACGCATTATATGTATTTATTTATTTAGTCGAATGGTCAGGACAAACGAAAAGCGTCCCATCTCACTCGCATTATTACTACTAGCACCACATTATACTTTAACTGACTGTTGGGACAAGTGATGTTAGCGAGACAACTCTTAGAGCCGAGACGCCACACGAGGGGGTGGGTGGCCAGCACCACGCCCGGCCACCTTTGTCCCGCCAATGCCGATGTTTACTGCACATCGCACCAGGTACTCATTTGAGGCTGAGTCGACCTAGCGGAGTTCAGATAATCGTCACTAGTGGTGGCCGTGAGTGGGAATCGAACTCTGTTCGCCGGGTTCGCAGCGCGCTAACCGCTGCACCACCGCTCCCCACACACGCACACTAAACAAGAAAATACTTTCTGCTTAAGAAAATATAAAATAAAAAAACGATATATTTAATTATATATACGTGCTCCTGTCATTGCCGATGTGACCAAATTCTCCTGCCTGGGCCTCCCTCCCCCTCCCCCCCCCCCCCCCGTTATACAACTAGGTCACGGACTATTTAAAGTGATTTTAAACTAGGTTACAAAATTACCCTAATTGAAGTCATTAATTCTATAATGAGAAAACCCGGGACAGATGTTCTGCAAGTGCTCGTCTCCCGTAGACATGTCATATGCTCGGAAAAGGAAGGTTATTCAATTGTATTTAATTATGCGGCACCATGATTATGAAAACACAGCCAAGAGTGCATGGAGGAGGGGGGGGGAGGCTTACCCGATCACTCACTAAGTAGCCATGCGTCTTGTTTAGGCTGCACAAGATCCGGTTACCGTGCCAGCATGTGGCCAGAGTCGCAACGTTGTTGAATTATTTTGTTGGTTGCCGTTCAAAATATTTCCCTCCAACCACAATTCGTTTTTTTGTTTTTATTTTTTTACCCCCCTCCCGACTGTTGCAATCGGCGTCACGTCGCGAGACGAAAGCGCCCATCCCGGGGATCCTCCAGCCCAGCGGCCCATGTGGAACCCCTTCGTTTGCAGAGCAACGTCCCGCGGAAGTGGATGTCACGGGGCTACTTTTGAGGTCCCGTCAAGCGGCCTCTCTGGTCCACAGCAGAAAATTAATGCAATTTGAAGTTACATACTTCAAAAATGTATATCTATTTTACGGGGCGCCACGGTGGTGAGATGTTATCTTTCTCGCCTGGTATGCAGGAGGTCGGGGATTCGATCCCGACTCCGGTTTTCCCCTCCACATTTAGAATCAACGAACGTCACGCTTTTTGGAGTATTTGGCTGCTCGACACATTTTCGTTGAGCTATCATTTGTGATGGCCAGGTGGCTTCTGAAACACAGTTTTGTGTTATTTTTACCTGTTCAAATAAAACAAAAGAGTTACGCTTTTTTTTTAGTTCAGGATCACCTGCACAGGAGTTGGCGTTCCCCCTTACCCAGTGTTACGGATGGACAGACAGAGCCAAAGGAAAAAAAATGGATCGACGGACGAAAGCGTTTATGGAGGTAACTCCATAAACGCTTTCGAACCCTTTAATTGGAAAGCTTTTAAAAACAACAACACAAATCACTGGGCTGGGCAAGCGTGAGCTAAACAAACCTCGGCTTAATCCTCCTCAATCAGAACATCGACTCGCGTAGAAATGGCTTCGGGCAGTCTCCTGAAACCACTTTTGAAGTTTAAACCGCGCGCGCCACCCCACCCATAGAGACATTGTACGAACCATTTTATAAACGATTATATTATTGAATGAGCACTAATTTCCATAAATACTCGTGCACCGTTGGTACTGTGAATATGGGACTGACGCGTAGAGCAAATGCATTCTGCTCTTAATCTGTGCGTCTTTGATTTTGCACGCGCGCACGTGGAGTGGTGGGTGTGAGTGCAGTGTGGTACGTCTGTGTGCGGTGGGTGTGTGCTGTGTGTTTGCTGTGTGTGGGGTGTGTCGTACGTGTGTGGTGGGTGTGGTGAGGCGTGTGTGTGTGTGCGGTGGGTGTGAGTGCAGTGTGTGTGTGTATGGTGTGTGTGGCACGTGTGTGGTGAGTGTGGTGAGGTGTGTGTGCAGTGGGTGTGAGTGCAGTGTGTGTGTGTCTGCGGCGTGTGTGTGTATGGTGTGTGTGTGTATGGTGTGTGCGGCGTGTGTGTGTGCGGCGTGTGTGTATGGTGTGTGTATGTGTGCGGCGTGTGTGTGTGTATGGTGTGTGTGTGTCTGCGGCGTGTGTATGTGTGTGTGTACGGCGTGTGTGTGTGCGGCCTGTGTGTGTATGGTGTGTGCGGCGTGTGTGTGTGCGGCGTGTGTGTATGGTGTGTGTATGTGTGCGGCGTGTGTGTGTATGGTGTGTATGTGTGCGGCGTGTGTGTATGAGTGCGGCGTGTGTGTGTGTGCGGCGTGTGTATGTGCGGCGTGTGTGTGTTTATGGTGTGTGTATGTGCGCGGCGTGTGTGTGTGTGCGGCGTGTGTGTGTGTGTGTGGCATGTGTGTGTGCGGCGTGTGTGTGTATGGTGTGTGTGGCATGTGTGTGTGCGGCGTGTGTGTGTGTGTGCGGCGTGTGTGTGCTGCGTGTGTGTATGTGCGGCGTGTGTGTGTATAGTGTGTGTGTGTGTGCGGCGTGTGTGTGTGCGGCGTGTGTGTATGTGCGGTGTGTGTGTGTATAGTGTGTGCGTATGTGTGCGGCGTGTGTGTGTGTGCGGCGTGTGTGTGTGTGTATGTGGCATGTGTGTGTGTGCGGTGTGTGTGTATGGTGTGTGTGGCATGTGTGTATGTGTGGGGTGTGTGTATGTGTGTGTGCGGCGTGTGTGTGCATGGAGGAACGTCCTCCAAAGAGAGACTCCTTCAAAATGATCTCTGCGTTCATGAACTCAATGCCGTTACCGGTGCCTCGAAGCGAAACGGAAAATGCGATGCAGCATTTAAAAAAAATTGTTTTAAAATCAAGCATTAAACTTTCCGTCGAGATGAAATGCAACGGGATCGTGCGACTGTGTTTTTTTTAACCATTGTTATCGATCGTCCCACAATCGCGTCAATGCAATTGATGGAATGCAGTTATTTAGTGGTAACGAGATTCTCACCGAGACTCGGTTCAGCTGACGGCATTTAACCCCTTGTCGGAGCGATTGTCTCCGAGCCTTCAACGTTGTCTTTCCCACTTACTCTCACCCCCAATAACACCGAAAACAACCGAGCAAAGACAAAGATCCCGCGTATAGCCTCAACACACTCTAGGGGCAAGTGCTGTAGCACCTATGAAGGCTGGCACGGTACACGAGGAAAAGCCGGCACGGTACACAAGTGGCGATGTTTACGCACCGCACCAGGTACTCATTTGAGGCTGAGTCGACCTAGGGGAGGCCCCTGGACCAATGTCAAACAATCGCCACTAGTTTCTGGCCGTGAGCGGGAATTGAACTGGGATCGCTGGGTTAGGAGCGCAGCGCGCGATCCGCTGTGCCACAAACAGTCAACGGCACGCGCGCAACACGCACGCGCGCAACACGCACGCGCGCAACACGCACGCGCGCAACACGCACGCGCGCGCGCGCAACACAGATGGACCGCTGTAGCAAAAGCGCACATATGGCGCTCTTTAATTTACCCGCAGCGTTGAAATTATCTGCGCCGGTGAGCGAGTGCATGCAATGCAGATGTGACCCCCCCCCCCGACCCCACAACTACTACCCCCCCTCCGCCCCCCCCCCCCCCCCCCCCGCTGTAACAGGACGGAATGAATCCGTGGGCCTGAAAATTTTACATAATTTACCATTCTGTCGCGGGATTCATTTCGCCCGGTTATAGCGCGCGTCCGACTAACAGGTGCGATGTTCAGAATTGAAGGCGAGCCACCCACGAGGAGGTTAAAGGGGTTGCGCGGGAGACGTAACGCTCTCCTCTCCCCCCCCCCCCCCCCCCCCCCCAATTACGCAGCATGCCACGCTGCGCTCATCCCACCCGCTCACCCACCCGCTCACTCACCATCTCGCTCGCCCGCTCACCCACCCGCTCACCCACCCGCTCACCCACCCGCTCACCCACCCGCTCGCTCGCCCACCCGCTCGTCCATTCCCCCAAGCACCCACCAGTCCGTCCGGCCGTCCACCCGACCCGCTCACTCACCCACCCACCCACAGGATAACTCGCCCACCCACCTACTTGTTCATTCACCCTCTCGCTCGCTCACCCGCCCGCTGGCCCATTCACCCACCTCATTCGCTGTTTCACCCACCCACTCGCCCGTTCATCCACGCACTCTCCGGTTTACCCACCCGCTCTCTTCCCATCACCGACTCACTCACTCGCTCGCCCCACCCACCCACCCGCTCGCTCGTGATTTGCCCGCTGGCATTTTCTGCACGCAAATTCAAAAAATACTCGTGGGCAGCTCACAGGCGGTAGGTAGCGAAGCGGTGCCGGGAGGGATGAGCCCGGTGGTTATCCTCCTTTCGGGGAAAAATAATCGGCACCTCCATTGCGACACTGCCCATGCCAGAGCTGTCGAGCAGACAGCTCTGACATCGTCAGCATCGCAGCTACTGCGGTGCAACGGTTGGGCACAGCTGGACTTGTAAATCCAGAGGTTCGCAGGGTTCGGCCTCCTGGCACAGCAGTTGAAAGCATGGGGCACGTTTCTTAACCCCCCCCCACACACACACACACAACACGTGTCTGTGTCCACCGAGCGATATAATGGGCAGCACCGCAGTCGATGTGCTGATGAAGCTAGTTGTAATTACTGGTGAAACGTCGTACTCGGATTGTAAATGTTGTGGCTTGGCCCTCCATCCCACCGGTGTGCTGTACTAGTAAGGAATTGGCACGTTCTGTTTACGTGACAAACCTTACTAATTGGCTGTGTAGGGTGGTGGCGGGTTTAACGACACAATTATATATTGACGCGATCTAACCCAAAAAAACACCCCCTCTATTATGGATAATATTGGTCGCGAAAGCCGACTACGTGTTAAACAGACTAAAGTGGTTTGTCACACACGGCACGCCACGCCCAGTATAACTCTCGCTGTGGCCATGGTCACCAGGAGTCACTTACCGACTCCAGTCTGTCGGCGACCCAGAAAATATTCCGTGAGAAATGTCGGCGGGTTCCTGTCGCAGCCGGCGAACCACCACTGATATTCACCTTGGCTGGGAATCAAACTCAGGTAGGCAGGTTCCTATCACAGCCCTCTAACCACCACTGATATTCACCTTGGCTGGGAATCAAACTCAGGTAGGCAGGTTCCTATCACAGCCCTCTAACCACCACTGATATTCACCTTGGCTGGGAATCAAACTCAGGTAGGCAGGTTCCTATCACAGCCCTCTAACCACCACTGATATTCACCTTGGCTGGGAATCAAACTCAGGTAGGCAGGTTCCTGTCACAGCCCTCTAACCACCACTGATATTCACCTTGGCTGGGAATCAAACTCAGGTAGGCAGGTTCCTATCACAGCCCTCTAACCACCACTGATATTCACCTTGGCTGGGAATCAAACTCAGGTGGGCAGGTTCCTAATACAGCCCTCTAACCACCACTGATCCACCTTGGCTGGGAATCAAACTCAGGTAGGCAGGTTCCTGTCACAGCCCTCTAACCACCACTGATATTCACCTTGGCTGGGAATCAAACTCAGGTGGGCAGGTTCCTAATACAGCCCTCTAACCACCACTGATCCACCTTGGCTGGGAATCAAACTCAGGTAGGCAGGTTCCTGTCACAGCCCTCTAACCACCACTGATATTCACCTTGGCTGGGAATCAAACTCAGGTAGGCAGGTTCCTATCACAGCCCTCTAACCACCACTGATATTCACCTTGGCTGGGAATCAAACTCAGGTAGGCAGGTTCCTAATACAGCCCTCTAACCACCACTGATTCACCTTGGCTGGGAATCAAACTCAGGTAGGCAGGTTCCTGTCACAGCCCTCTAACCACCACTGATATTCACCTTGGCTAGGAATCAAACTCAGGTAGGCAGGTTCCTATCACAGCCCTCTAACCACCACTGATATTCACCTTGGCTGGGAATCAAACTCAGGTAGGCAGGTTCCTAATACAGCCCTCTAACCACCACTGATTCATCTTGGCTGGGAATCAAACTCAGGTAGGCAGGTTCCTGCCACAGCCCTCTAACCACCACTGATATTCACCTTGGCTGGGAATCAAACTCAGGTAGGCAGGTTCCTAATACAGCCCTCTAACCACCACTGATTCATCTTGGCTGGGAATCAAACTCAGGTAGGCAGGTTCCTATCACAGCCCTCTAACCACCACTGATATTCACCTTGGCTGGGAATCAAACTCAGGTAGGCAGGTTCCTATCACAGCCCGATAACCACCACTGATATTCACCTTGGCTGGGAATCAAACTCAGGTAGGCAGGTTCCTATCACAGCCCGCTAACCACCAAGGGATCTGCGCCCCGCCCCCACGCCGTGTGCGATGCAGGTGGCGCGTCGCGAGCCGGGGTGGATGGCGGCCCCCCGGCCCCCCACTCGGTGCTCAGGGCCGAGCTGCTGCAACAGCTTCTACTGCTGCTGTTGGCGGAGAGGCGCCAGCCCCAAGCGGAGCCGCCCAGCGCCGTGAAGGAGCGCGCAGTGCGGGTAATTTTAATGTCTTTTTTTAATTTTAATTTCATATTTATTTTCTATTTTCTATCTAAGTGACTTTACCGAAAGAACCAAGAATATGAATTGCTGCAGTCACGAAAGTTTAAAGTCAAAAATTTTATATTGTTCTGTAGTCCAGTCGGCATTTAACTTAGCAAGGTTGCTCGTGGGGGGTGGAGGGGGCAGATGCCCTTGGGGGCAGAGACTTGTGGGGCGACAGAGGCTCGTGGGGTGACAGAGACTCGTGGGGTGACAGCTTCCTGAAATAACTACTCGTCCAGCAGAGGCTGCTCGCTCTTCGCGAACACCAACGAGAGGCGTTCCTCCCCCGACCTCCTTCCCAGCCGCCCCCCGTTAAATAACCGCGGGTCAGGGATCTGTGTTGCCTGATATTCGGCTTGATGCGAAAAATACTAAGATGGGGGGCCATGATTCAAAATTTGTGGACGTTCAAACAGCAATAAAAAAAATCGGGTTGCCTGCGTCGCGTCACCACCACTCTTCCCCGCAAAAGGCGCCGTCGGGTGATGTCACCGTGACTTAAAATACGACAATTTAATAAATGTTGACGATAGACCGATTGCTTTTGCTGAGGGTAACACATTTTTTCCGTTTCGGTGAACCTATGCAGAACAAGAAAAAAATCGAGGTAATTTAAAATAATTCTAAATAATTTCGTGTTTGTTTCTGTCACCCAGAGGCTTTACAGAAATAGTCAGGATTGATTAAAACATTATCGAGAATTAAAACATTGTTGTGAATTAGCAAACAGTCGTTCATTAACTAAAAAAACAAATTAAAAGGTGCGGTCCTGAAATTACCTGTTCATGCCACTGGTGGTGAATGGGTCCATCTAATAGGTTGTTTTGGCCTACTCTTCCACGGTGGCCAGACGTCTTGGAATAGGTGGCAGTACCCGCACACGTTACCTCACCACACCACGATTTGCCGATGGCCGATCTGATGTACCCATGTATGCCCGCTGGATGGAAAGCGGTTCGCAACCTGTCAAGGGACTTTCCCCGTCGTTTCGCCTGCCGCGTCAGGAGATCGAATCGAACCAAGGGCCTGTAAATGTCCACGTGATAAGCCACTTTGCTGAGCTGTCATTTGTGGCCAAGTCGCTTAACTGACAAATAATCTGTTTTGTTTGTATATTTACAAGTGATTTGTTTATCTTTCCTATACTTTCCATTTCCTGTCGTGTTTTTGTATTGTTTGTTCTAACATTCTGACCCGCCCCAACTGGACATCCGTGAAAAAGAGCTTCATAGCTCATCGGATTCCCCCAGCGTCAAATAAATATTCCGATTCCGTGTGCTCGCCACGACTCTTCGGCGAGCATTCCTCTTCCACGAAACCTCGACCAAATTTCCCTCCCGACGCGTTCAACCCCCGCTGAGCGCTTTGCTTTTATTTATCTCTCCGCCCCCCCCCCCCCCCCCCCAGGCCCACTACGAGAAGGCCCCATCCGGAGGCTCTCAGCTCGGCCGATGGGGGCTTCTCGCGGGCCGCACCCGGGCGCTGGCACGCGACGCCCCTCGGCGGCCTCCGCTCTGGCCGCACGGCCGCTCCCCTCTCCCTGACGGCGCGGCGGTGGCGGCGGCGCGAGGGAGCCACGGGGCCTCGGAGCGGCCGGAGGAGACGGCGAGAGCGGCAGCGGCGGACGACCGGGAGGGGGGTGGCGATGGGACCGCGAGTGCAGCGACGCGGAAAGGTGCGGTTTTCCGAATCAGCATCTTCATTTAGACCGGGGGAGGGATTCCGAAGAGCGGATGTCCAGGAGTTTGCGGAGGAGATTTGCTTTCTGCTACAGCGGCGTTTGGGAAACTGCTATAACTGGCAAGCTGTGTCTGACCCGAGACTTCGGTTGGTAAGGCCTGAGGCCACGCGAGGCCGTACCGTTTGGAGACAGCTCGCGATCAGTATTTATCTGTCATTTGCCAGCATCTTGGCCGCGCTCATCGAGTACTGGAGGGCACGATTTTCAAGCGGGCAGCACCGCGTGTCCGATTTAAGCGCAGGCAAGTCGACTCTGTCACAAAGATACTGCATAGGCCGAGGGGTCATCAACCTGCGGCACCGAAGCCGCACGCGGCTCCTTAAGGGACTGCTTAGTGACGTCATTTATTAGATGCCTTTTTATAAAATGCGCTTCTACGGGCCGTCTGGAACGCTCTTCCTTCCGATATTAGGCGAGCCACTGCAGCTGTGTGCACTTTTAAGTCATCTGGATTGACAAACCGATTTTTTGCTTTTTGTGTCTACTTTGTTGTCCTTGCCCCGTACCTCCGATTAACACTGTTGACTACGTACGGTGCGAAAGAAGTTCAACATACATTCTGGATCGTCTAGGCGGGGGGGGGGGGGGGTATGCAGTAGTGAATTAAAGTGTCCAGTCACCATGTTACAAAGGCAAAGATGCCCCAGCATTACCGTTTAAAAAAAAAAGTATCTTTAATTCCCAATTTTTTTTTTACCTGCATTAAATTTTAAATCATACATCGCCAATATCACACGCTGAGGAGTTACTCCCAGGACAGGACAAACTTTTCTGCGGCGCATAATAACTTATCGTCAGAGCGGCGGTGGCAACGGCGAGCCAAGATTTGAAGGGGCGTTGCAATTCCCAAAACTTGCGGGTGGCAAGACAACTTATTGAAAGTAATAATTGCAGCGGCACACGCTGTACCCATCCCCACTGGTGCCGCCTCCTCCCCCCGGGGCCACCGTTCCTTCACCGCGCACGCCACACCACGCGGGAAACCCGAGACCCACTTCCCAAAATGTGCCACGTTGCTGTGGAGACATTTGTTATTTTTTTCTTTTTACATATTTCACGCCACACGATCACGCCACACGATCAATTGGCTTGGGGTGGGGGCGGGGAGATTATTTATTTTATTCATCATTCGGCAAAGCGTGGCAGCAGCCCCCGTTTACCAATGTGGGTGGTCGGTGGATCACGCAGCGATGCGACCGATGCGGGATTCCAAACGGCACGCTTACCGTGGTGGCGCGCGTGGGAAGCGTCGGGTTTTTTTTGTTGTTGCGACGCCCGCTGTTGGCGTGCGGAGTCGACGGGCGTTGCTCTCGTCGTACGTGTGGGCACTCTGCGGGCACGCCCCGGCGTTCGTCGCCCACGCGGAAGACGACACGTCGGGAAATTTGCACCGGCGTCGCAAGCTGCTTTGGAGCCTCATCGAGGCTTCTTTTTTTTTTTCTGGATGAGAATGGAATTATTATTCGGCGCGTGCTGAATTTACACTTGCTTTCGCTTTAAAGACTTTCTGTGCGCGTGTGTGTGTGTGTGCGCGTGCGTGCGTAGTGGGGAGCGGTCGCGTAGCGGTTGGCGCACTGAACTACATACGCGGCAAATCTGAGTTCGATACCCACTCACAGCCGATGCCAGTGACGATTATCTGAACTGAAGCCTGGGCCTCCCCTACGTTGACTCAGCCTCAAATGAGTATATATTGCGGTGTGTAATTGTTGCCAATGGCGAGACAAAGGCAGTCGGGCGTGGTGCTGGCCACGCACTTGCCCCAAAAGTATGTGAAGGTTATATGGGGGATCTTTGCCGTCGAGACAGAATTGTAAATGTCACATTTTATAAGAATGTATATATTGGCGAGGTTATCCTGACTTTTTGGTAAAATCTGAAAATGAAACCTAGATACATTTCGGACAATCTGTAATATATTTTGTTTTGAGGATTGATTTGGAAAGTCTGACATCGTAAGATAGTGATGTAACTTAAATAAAATTACAACTTTGGAGAATGTATCGCCAAAGGGATCAGGCGACATCATTTATGTTCACGTGAGGACGCGTGAGGACGCGTGAGGACGCGTTAAATTGTGATTCGGTGCAAATGGTGAAACAAAATAATCCAAAGAAAATGCGAAATCACTCTGAAAATATTTGAAACCCCGAAAATATTTACATTAAAAAAACGATCTCAAATGCATACTTGTTACCGAGTTGTTACGAAGTGCATTCACACCACTCAAGTAGAGCCTTTCGTTGTCTGCGTCATGCCACTTTGATATCTTACACACCCGCGTACGGGCGGTGTGTTGAGCGAGATGTACAAAACAAAACGTGACGTTAAAAAAAGAAAAACGAGCAATTTGCACAAACACCACCGAGCCACCCTGGAGACGCGACGAGGATTTTTTTTTGGTTATCGGGTGAGCAAGGAATTATTATTAGCGCCGCGAATTTACACTCGTCTTGCCTCGTACGTGCGTGTTGCAGGAAGCGTGGATGGGAAGCAAGACGCGGCTGTCAATCAAGAAACTGTCAACGCTCGTGCGGCCGAGGAGGGATTGGAAATCGTGCGCAGCGCGACGCGGGACAGGGAATTGCCAGGGGCATTGCTGACCCCTCTGGTGAGCTCAGTAAATTGTTTAAATAAAAATAAAATGAGAAACGGGGTGGGGGTGGTGGGGGCAAAACAAACAACCACCCTTGAAATTCGTAACCGCTTTAACAGACGCAACGAAATCGAAAACCAAAAATGTTGGGGAGGGGGGGGGGTGTCGGGGGGGGGAGAGGAGGTGGTGGGACGGTGACGCTCACGCAAAAGTTTGCGAACGACGCCCGCCAGCCAATTCTGAATTGCATCGCAGGACCGGGCCGCGAGGCCCCGGGATGCGTCCCCAGCGACGCACGCTGCTGCCGTCCGTCCAGAGGAGGGCGACCGCGGAGTGTCGCTGGACGCGGCCGAGGTCGGGCGGCGCAGGAAGGCTTCGCCGGACCGCCAGAGTGCGGAGTTTGGCTACATCGTGACGGATAACAGGTGACGATTTGCACGCGCGCAACTCACGCGCGCACGCGCAAGGCAGAGGTAGCCTTGATGGATCTTTTGCTGCAAGCGCTGTTGGCGAGCACCTATTAAGGCTGGCAGGGCGCACGAGAGGGTGGGAGGGGGGGAACCAGCACCACGCCTGGCCGCCTTTGTTTCCCCTTGTGCCAACATTTACATACCAGGCCAGGGCACTCCTTTGAGGCGGAGTCGACCTAGAGGACCGGTTCAGATAATTGTCGCTGATGTTGGCCGTGAGTGAGAATCGAACTTGGGTGGCTGGTTTCGTAGAGCATCGCACTAATCACAACACTATTGAGCCCCATTTGCACGGGCACACACACGCGGATACACACACGCACGCGCAAACACACAACAACAACCGCAATTCGCCACTAAGTGGCGGTGACGTCACCACGACCTTGTGCCAGGCCATGTGCACCTTGAGGCCTCGTGAAGTGTCGAACTACCGCCTGCAGGAGGTCATGGGGCAGACCCAGGTGCCACGGGTCGACTGACTGAGATGCCTGAGATGATTGGCTGATGCACCACCTGTGCCCCCTACTGTGCCAACTCGATCCGGCCGAACAAAAGCTGTTTCGGCATGCGGTGGCTGGGCATGCGGGCGACATGACCCAGCCAACGCAGCCTTGCCTGCCGGAGGAGCTCACCGATGGGACCTTGCCCAGATCTTTCAAGGATTTGTGAGCTCCTCACACAATCCAGCCTGGTTTAACCTAGGATGGATCGTAGGCAGGCTAGCCTAAATGTTTCTAACCGGCGAAGATGTTCCATTAGTGGGGGTCCACGTTTCGCAAGCGTAGAGAAGGGAGGGAATGACCGTGGCCGAGAAGACCTGAAGCTTAGTGCGGAGCGACAGACCAGGTAGCTTCCACACAGCTTTACGCAACCGATGAAAAGATATTGCCGCTCGACTTATTCGGAGTGAGACCTCTGCTGTTAAACTGGAGAGGGACATAAGCACACTGCCCAGGTATGGGAAACTCTCCACTCTCTCCACAACTGCCCCATCACCGATTGGGAGTTGTGGGGGTGGAGTGTCCGATGGTACAAAATACCCAGGCAGGTGCTTAGTTTTGGTGGGGCTGATAGTAAGGCCCCATATCTTAGTGGCACGCTCCAGTCTCAGCAGCAGCGTCTCCAACTCCTCCTCTGAATGAGCAGCTATTACCAAATCATCGAAATACATAACGTGGTTGAGCAATAGGGAGCCATCCCTTGACCGCACCCGGGCATCGATTAGCCTCCCATTATATCTGTACCATATGGAGATTCCCCCGGTACAGCTATTGAAGGCTTCACGAACTACGTGGTCAAAATAGATGTTAAATAATGTGGGAGCCAGAGGACATCCCTGTCGCACCCCAAGGTGTACAGGGAATGGCTCTGACTCCCGGCCATGTAGTTTTACCCGGGCCCGCTCACCATCATGAAGGTCCTTAATGATCGTGAGCAGAGGGTAAGGGACTCCAAAAGCACGAAGAACAACCCAGAGCCCAGGCCTACTGATGGTATCATAGGCCTTGACCAGGTCAATAAAGCAGATATGTAGGTCTTGCTGGAATTCCCTACACTTCTGCTGTAGCATACGGACAGAAAATATTGCATCTGTGCAGGACCGCCCTTTCCTGAAACCGCATTGGGGCTTCGCAAGCCTCTCCTCAGCGTGCCTGGCAAGGCGATGTTGAATAATCCTTGCCAGGACCTTTCCCGGCACACTGAGGAGTGAGATGCCCCTGTAGTTGTTACAGTCTGTGCGGTCCCCCTTCTTAAAGAGGGGGACCACCAGGGCATCCTTCCAATCCCGCGGAACCCGTCCAGTCGTCCGGACTGTTGTTATGATGGCATATAGGGCAGTCTGTGCACAAACGCCACCCTCCCTCAGCATTTCGCTTGGGAGATCATCTCTGCCTGCTGCCTTTCCTGGTCTCAGACTCCGGATCGCCTTCAGTACTTCCTCAACAGATGGCACCTCAGCCAGCCACTCACAGGGGCTGACTTCTTCCAATATTTGAGGCACCGCAGCCTCAGCAGGGTCATCCACACTTTGTGACACGATGTTTTCCTGGCTGAGGGATTTTCCCTCCCCCAGGACCTCACAGAAATGCTCAGCAAATCTGCAAACCTGTTCCTGGGGGTCGGAGATTGGATCACCGTTTTTTCCCCTATTGATGGTAATAGGTGTGGCGCTGCAAGTTACTTTTTGATGGAGTTAAATAGAGATTTGTGATCGCGGGCCACTGAGGCAGACTCCATCTCCTCAGCAACCCGCGACCACCACCCATCCTTGCAGCGCCTCACGGCTCTCCGAACCTCCGAGCGAAGGCTGCGGTAAGCCTCCTCATTCTCTGACGTGGGATTCTGTAGCCGATGACAGTGGGCCTGTCGCTTTTTCTCAACTATCCTGAACACCTCCTCTGTCAGCCAGGGTCTCTGGGGAGGTCTGAACCAATGCAGCTTCATGAGTGACAGTCCTAAACCTCACCCATTTACCCTCGACATCAGGAGGAGTGGGGGACGATGCCAACCCCAGCCGCAAGCGATGATGAAATTCTCGCTTGCAACTTTCATCAGATAACTGAGACCAGGCCACTTTAGGTTGGAATGGGGCCCTGGGTGTACACCCACCACCGGAGTGGAAGAATGGCAGGCGCATCTTACAGATTACAAGTCGATGGTCAGAGGGTAGATCAGCTCCACGGTAGGTCCTGGTGTCAAGGACATGGGCTCGCATCCACTGGTCTGTCACTATGTAGTCCAGCAGATGTTCTTGCTTGGACCCGGCATGCATCCATGATGTTGTGTGGATGCGCCGATGCCGGAACAGCGTGTTGGTAATTACAAGCCCATGGGCTGCACAAAAATCTAGTAGCCTCCTACCGTTGTTATTGAGCTGATCTGGCCCATGCCATCCAATCACTCCAGACCAGGTGCAGCATCATGACCAACTCGGGCATTGAAGTCACCCAACACGATGACTATATCCCGAGGGGCCACTTTAGCCAGCACCTGTGACAGGCGGTCATAGAAGGCATCTGACTCACCGGCTTGCCTGCATCCCTCCACGGATGTTCATCTTCGGTCGGGGCATAAGTAACCACGACCACCACTCCTCGCCTCCGGTTGATGGGAAGGCGAGCCCAAAGTAGACTGGGGCTTACAGCTTCCCACACCTCACCGCCATGCTCCCACGCCCCCTTCATTCTTTTGTTCAAAAGAAGTGCCACACCCTTTTGTTTGGCAGTCTGCTGCCCCGAGTAGAGGACTGTCCACTCCTTATGGTGGCAGGAGCCAGAACCGGTCCACCGGACCTCCTGAATGCCACAGAGATCCAGGCGGTACCAGTCCAGCTGCCGACAGAGGAGTGGCAGCCTCTCCTCCGCAGTGAGCGTTTGAACATTCTGCGTGGCTACACGAAGTGGCTTTTCGTTGTTTCTGGAGGAGCCCCGAGGGTAGAGATTCAATCTCCTGGCTCCGCCAATTGGGGTTTGGCCAGGAGACGTCATCGACGCCTGTCCCCCCGGGGCCTCCGGCACAAGATTATTAGTTAGATATTTTAGACGTGGTTTAGTGGTACATTTTTGAAGGTGGAGGGGTTACCAGCCCCTCGCACCCGTCCAGAACCCCCGTTTAGCCCCTGTGGTGGTCACAGACGCGATGAGGGGAGGATACAATCGGAATTGGCCCTCCTCCCACAGCACTGTCCACGACAGAGTTGCCTGTCCGGCACCGCGAGGAGGTAGGGGGTTGTTTTGCCAAACTACACACACACGCGCACACACACACGCACACACACACACGCGCACACACATGCACACGTACAACAACAACAACAACCGCCATTCGCCATTAAGTGGCACCACGACGCTTGTGCCAGGCCATGTGCACCTTGAGGCCACGTGAAGTGTCGAACGCCCGCTGGCAGGAGGTCATGGGGCAGACCCAGGTGCCACGGGTCGACTGACTGAGATGCCTGAGATGATTGGCTGATGCACCACCTGTGCCCCCTACTGTGCCAACCTGCTGTGCTTTAGCCACCCGGCGCTCCGCTCGTTGTTGTGACCGTCGCTCCTCCGCCCTCCGTTGTTGTTGGAGGGCGACTGCCTCCAACTGCCCAGTAGCCTCACGGTGCACCTAGCCTGGCACTGCCCAGCAGCAGCGTCCTTCACGAGCCTCCTCCTCCACAGAGACCGATCTTGACACCGCTGGTACCAGTCATCGGCAAGTCCACTCAGCTCCACGTCCTCCTGTACCACATCACTCCATCTCTTCTCTAGCCCGTGCCGCGCCCGTTTAGCCCCCTCGATCCGGCCGAACAAAAGCAGTTTCGGCATGCGGTGGCTGGGCATGCGGGCTACATGACCCAGCCAACGCAGCCTTGCCTGCCAGAGGAGCTCACCGATGGGACCTTGCCCAGATCTTTCAAGGATTTGTGAGCTCCTCACACAATCCAGCCTGGTTAAACCCAGGATGGACCGTAGGCAGGCTAGCCTGAATGTTTCTAACCAGCGAAGATGTTCCATTAAGGGGGTCCACGTTTCATCACGTACACACACACGCGCACACACAACAATCCACAACAACCGCCATTCGCCACTAAGTGGCGGTGACGTCACCACGACGCTTGTGCCAGGCCATGTGCACCTTGAGGCCACGTGAAGTGCACACACACACATGCGCACACACGCCCGCACTACCGCTGTAAAAGGACAGGTGAACGAAACGAGCCTCATTTCTGATCGTGGCCATGAGCCACTCTCCGAAATACCACTTGGAAATAAATAAAATAAACTCGTGGCTTTTATAAAGTACATTAACACAATTAGGTATATGTTTTTAGCATCTGTTTAATGCATCAGTGACATCGTACACACGTGTTCACGCACAGCTATTTTTTTTATAGCTATCCACTGCTGGATGAGGACCTCCCCTACGGCTTGCTAGTCGCGAGGGGCATTTTGACCGTACTTCAC